TAAATTTTAATTTGGTCCCTATCCAGATGATCACAGATGCTAAATCAGTGTAGCTCAAGCAATGAGTTTTTACTACACATACACACATTGCTTTACAAACTAAAAACTTTTTACAGATTTGTATTATTTTCTCAAATATTCTAAAGAAAAAGACAGTAAGTCTCTTTGTTTTAGAGCCAGAAACTGTATCAACCAATTTGTCCCTAAATCATTAGGTGACTCAGAAGCAGAAATGGTCACTGAGATTTTACTTTCAGGCCAAGGTCCCTCCATCCAAGCCACACTACCCAAAAAGGCAGGAAGGAAATTCTTTAATTGCCTGTTGTATTCTTTTTAGGGTGAGGATTTTGTTTCTTTTAATATACAAATTACCAACTGCAGAGTGTTGCCACTGCTTATGGGAATGCAAAATTTCAGGTGTATCATTTAGATATTAGTAACCTGAATTCAAGGTAACATTAATACTCAAAAATTTTTGACATCAAATTTATAAGGAAACATATAAAACTTTTATGAGAAAACTGTTATCCTAGAAATATTAGTCAGAAACTATTCACTAACAGAAAATATTTTCATCAACTGAGCAGTTTTTCATATACACACGTCCTTAACCAGAACAGATTTTATTTATTTATTATTTACCACTCCACTCTGACAATGGAGTGCTAAATTAAAAGGCCACCCAAACAGCAAACACATCCTAGTGACGTCAGGACTGCCACAGTGCAACCTCTCTCAAAGACAGTAAGCAGCACGGCCCTTGGGGAAAGCATCACTATCCGGTTCATCTGAGACTCTGAAAATGAGAGCACTGGGGTTAGACCTGGGAACCTGGCAACCAGAGGGCCCAGACAGATGCTCACTGCACAAAGACTCTGCCTGTTCATCTCATGCTACCTTTTGTCTAGGGCGCCTCCACGTTTCCAGATTCACCATGAGCTTAGGTGCCAAATTTATGCAAAAGATCTCAGGTCAAGGCAAGTGCTAAGGAAGGCCTCCCCGCTTTTATCGTAAATCATAATACGATATGTAGTTTTCAGGAGAACGCAGGGGCTGTTGTGAGATGTATTATTGTTGTTCTTGTCTATAAGAAATGCCTTGAATTAAAGAAAAAAATGGTTTCTTCTTTAAAAATAATAGCTAATTTGCATCAACAAGGCATGCTGATTAAAAAACACTATTGGGAAAATAAAGTTTCAGTATTATTTTGAACCCAAGATTATAAGGAGAAAGGATCTTATTATTACTTAAGTAGTATAGTTAGTGATAAAATTAAACCAAAGAAGAAACGAGTTGATTTTGTAACAGTGTAAATCTCAAACATTTCTTAGAATTAAAAAAAAAATAGCTTTCTAGAAATTTCAAGATTTCAAAATAAATTGTTCTCATGAAACACATGCAAATAATTCCCAAGAAGCAAAGACATAAAGGCATTTAGAGAGAGGTTGTTTGTTGTATTTCATCTATTACAAAGTTGTAAAATCCCTTTACTTTGCAAATTTGTGCTGCCAATGGAGAATGTGAAGAATTCCCAAGGATAGAAGAGAACTGTGAGTCAAAACTGAGCATCGTGCTGAATTACAGAACCAACTGAAACAGGTTCGATTACTAGATACTGCTAATGCAATTCCTATCTATAACCTCTGGCTTCTGTGATCCAGAGTTAACGCCTCCTCGCCCCCTACCCCCATGAAAAGGACGTGAAATTCCAGTTTAGTTTTTCCAATCTTGTTATTTTTAAGTGGTTAGTTTTTGCTCTATATTGTTAATTACTCAGTGACTGGTTTGAATGACCTTTTGCAAGCCAGCTTGCCAGTTTACAGATGCTATAAATGGCCTGATCACTCCCTGTGCCATAAACTCATTCACTTATTCAATTAATATTTATTGAGTACCAAATATGCGCCAGGCACTTTTCTAGGTACTGGAGATAGAGCAGTTATTAAAATACAAAAGCCCTGCCCTTGTGGGGCTAACATTCTAGAACAGTTGGATGAACAAACTATACTGTATGTTAGATCATAAGTGCTACAGAGAAAAATAAAGCAGGGAAGAGGGAGAGACGCTCTGAGTTGGGTGGACGTTGCGAATTTTAATCACTTTCAACAGCTGACACTGTAAGATGTGTGGGGAAAAATAAAAAAGATTCGCATTCTGGAGTCCAACTCCTAGCCTTACACTAGGGACCTGTGCTGTCCAATTTGGCAGCCACTAGCCACAGGCAGCAAATGAGCCCTTGAAATGCGGCTACTCTTAACTGAGATGTGATGTGCGAGTCAAATACACACGGGATTTCAAAGACATTTTATGAAAAAATAATGTAAAATATTCCATTAATAATTTTGCATATTGAATACATTTTAAAATGATATTTTAAGATCTATTGGGTTAAATAAACTTTATTCTTAAAATTAATTTCACCTATTTCTTTTTATTTCTTTAACGTGATTACTAGAATTACGTTACATATATGGCTCTCATCATATTTCCACAGACAGCACTGTTCTCAACTCCCTTTCTAACGTCCATGCATTTTAACTGAGTGCATATTTAACTATACAAGCTTGCCAAGAAAGGGGAGGGAGGAGGATACAGGAAAAGATGATGACAGCTCAATAGGCAGATAGTGGGTTCTGATCTCCCACTTACTAGCTGTGAGACCAGGGACTGGCTGGTAGCTGGTAACCTCTGCTTCAGTTTCTGGAAAAAGGAATAATAATAGTATTTATTATAAAGGGTTGTTGTAAGGAATGAATGGATTCATGTAAAGTACTTAGAATAGTGCCTGGCACATAAGTGTTTGCTCTTATTACTAAATATCATTATTTCTGGAAAAAGTGACCCTACAAGTATCAACCCTTGTCTTTTGTGATGTCGCTAAGGTGTTTATCAAAAATTGCCATTACTTTGAATCAGACAGTCTTGGAGGCGGGGCAGTCAGTGGAAAGAGCATGAAGAGGATTCGGGTGTCTGAGAGACATGGGTACAAATCTCAGGTCTGTTGAATTTTAATAGCAACAGCATAACCTTGTGCAAGTGACTAACATTTCCTGAAGTCTCAGTTACCTCTTCTGTAAAATATTTATTAGAGTTGTCTAAGGAACTATTGAAGCAGTGTAAATAAAAAACGTCTGGGGCAATAGGCAGTCAATAGATGACAAAATTGTGATAAATCTTGGGCAGAATTTGACTCTTTACATGTTACAAACTACCTGAGGATAATGACTATAACGCTCAAGAGAGTACTGTTTGAAAGTCTTATCAAGCATTTGAGCTCTTACACATGCAATTGATATTCTCATTTTTACTCACTTTTAAAAGCACCCCCGAGGACATTTACTAGATAACCCTGTTAACGTGCAACCAAATGCAACTAAAGGAATATAACTACATTTCTTAAAAACCTCTCTTCTGTTACTTCAGGACATTCTTCAACTGAGATTAGCTTTCCCTTCAATCCACTTAAATTACTGAGACTACACTGATTTTTTTCTCTTTTCTACGCAAGCATTTAATTTTTAAAAAAGTATTTTTCCTAGAGTTACTGGCCTGTACAGTCGAGCAGGGGTATGGATGTTAAATACGTGTGAAGGGAAGGCTTCCATCTGGTGGAAGTGACGTGTAGAGGGGACAGCACATTCCCTCTCCCTGCCTCTCTTTAATGGGAACAGGCAACCGCCTCCGCCCTATCCTTCATGAAGGCGCATTGTGACCCCTTTATATTTCACAGGGGAAGAAGCATAGCCTCTATAGGCTGTGGATCAGGACACCGGACTCTTGTGCCAGCTGGCCAACTTATTTACTCTATGGCAGTGAAAAAGCCACCAACGACCCTGGACTTCTTGTCTGAAAACTATATAAAAACTATTTTCACAACAGAAATACTGTGGGGAATAAAATGCCACAAGAAGTTTTGAAAAAGTCCGTTAAAGAGCATGGGGCTGCAGCTACCACCATGGGCTGTCATAACAGGGGATCGTAGTTTCATGGTTTTTTTTTAATTCATTTTTTCAAAAAGTGCACTTTAGTGATCATTGTAGAGGTGTACTTTCCCCTTTTCCTGGCTCTGAGTGTTTTGTTTCTGACACTTTCTAGGGTCAAATACGGGAAAAGAATTGAAAAAGGTAGGGAAAAAAGAAATAGAGCCCTTAATGGAAGCCTTCAGTTAAAAACAACCCAAGCAAACTTGCCTCTAACATTGCACGCAAAATTTGACTGAAGTGAGAAAACTAGGACTAGAAAGGATCATCGCTTGTCTCGTGCTCCATGGTTTTCAGATGGAACTACCTAACCAACCTCTTGTCTCTCTCCAAAGTACTGAAGACCTGTGTTGCGTGAGTGGCACAGTGCTGGGTGCTGGGGTACAACAGTGAGCAAGTTCAGTAAAGAGCCTGCCTGCAAGGGGCTGAAGACGAGGTAGATAGAATACACAGATATCAGCACATGCAACTAAATTCATTGCAATTGTGATAAGTAGCACAAGGAAGAAGTAACAAAACCTTTAAAAATTCAGAGACCCAGAGAAGAACTGTTTCCTAGCAATTTCTTGAGAACGAGATTTCATAATCTCTGCTCATTTCTATGATTAACAACTTTGAATGCTTACTTTGTATTTAATAGCATTTATGCCTTTTACTCTTATTTTTCAGGAGTGATAAAGGAAAGATGGTCCTCTTTTCTAGTTGTAAGAGTCCTTTAGATATTGGTGACAGCTTCCAAATAAGATTAGGGTTCATGCTTAAAACATAATGCACAATATTAATACAGCCTTGGGGGTATTGCTTTGAATTCATACCAAAAAATACTGCTGAACTTTTACAGAGATAAATGGCCTATATTTTCTCTACAGAGCATTAGCAATAGTTCCAACAAAATCAAAGTATTTCCAGTACCTTAGTCAAAGTAATCTAATAGCCCTGGAAAGTAGAGGGCTATTTATCAATATCACAACACACCACCATGTTAGAAATAACGGCACTGCATGCACAAACATGAATTACCTGTTTCCTTTTCTGCTGGGCCTAAAACATAAGAAAACAGAATTTAAGAGAAAAGCAAACTCTACCCATGTTGCTCACATAATGTAGAAGGCCAACCAAGCAAAGAAAAGTAGCCCACTTCCTATTTCTAACCTAAATTTTGTCTTGTTCTTGGTCTGATCCTGAGCACAAAACAAAAGCACTTTATTTTTTAAGATACAAAAAAAGGGGAAGGGCAATAATGAAAAGCATCGTTTCTCTCATCTGATAAGCATGCATTTTGTTTTTCTGAAAGGAGACTGCTCAGTAGTCCTACCCAACTGGATTTCTAGGATCCATTTTCTAGAATATTCTCACGCTAGACTGCAGATAAGAGAGGGATGACTCCAGAAAAGCAGGAGGTGGTCGAGTTCTCTGCTCACTGTCCATTTGGTCCTATTATAGGCTTTCTCTAGCACAGACTTGTTTTTATGAGTGATCCAGAAGATTAACTATATTTTTCTGATCACCAGTGTTAACACGGTTGTCTAGCTGATTAACGAAAGAAGCCCAAGGCTGTGTAAACTAAAAGAAGGTTCTTCATTTTTCCATATTAAAATGGTCTCTATGACTAGAAAATAGAGATAAACAAATATACCATGTATCTTTTCACTATTCTTGGACCAAGTAACGGCAAAAAATATTAACTAAAATAGACAGTTAAGAGCAAAAGGATTCTCCCAGTCTTTTTGGATAGGGCACATAATATTTGGATAAAACAACATTGTGCTTATTCAGGTTGTCCCCAAACTTTTTTCTCTTTGCCAGATTTGAAAGGTTTGAATATGTCTATTTTTATATCAATTCTTTCAATCTGTGCTCACAACACTCAATATTCCCACAACATAAAAATTATTTGAATGAGTATTCAAAATGTGAAAATCAATCTATCTTCCACTTTCCCCAAATGATCTAATATTCGCTGCTTCTGCTGTAACACAACGTGATATCATAATTAACGATGTTAAACTGGTAACTGAGGAGGTTTCATGTTGTTACTCTCGTAATATAATATTGGTTGCTATAGTGATGGGATGGCTTTTTTGTTAATCACTCAGGAGGTTGGTTATCGAATGCTTGTTAGAAAGCTTGATCAGATTTGGAAAGAAAAAAGAACATAACACAGCCAATTATAATCAATCTTTTTCATTGTCCGAATTTTGATGAAATTATCTTAACATCAACTAATAAATTTATAATTCATTAAGTACAGTTTTATAGTAAGTTACTAAAATATTTCTAATGAATCACTTACTTTTATTTTTAGATACTTTTAGAGACTTTTAATTTTAGACATTTTTATTTTTATATTAAACATTGCAAACTTTTTTCCTCCTTAAGTTAATGCTAAATGTATCATGCAAGCCAATTTTATGATAATTAGAACAAAGAATTTGAGGCCTTTTCTATTTTAATTATATCAAAGGATTGAATAAATGCTGATTTTCTGACTTTTGCCAGAAATTTCAATCTACTTATTTCTAAACATCTTAAATCTCAGTATCCTTAATAAATAAAACCTTGAGAAAAAAATGCACAGTCTTCTCAAGAGATCTCATCTTTCAAATGCATCAATATATTGCAAGCAATTAAAAGTTGCAGGGAATTCTATCAGTTTATTTCAGCCCTCACAATAATCAACAGGTTTCCTCCTTCTCTGAGTCACAATGTAGAACAGAAAATAAAATTATGTAATACTACACTGTTACTGATCAGAAAAGAATACACTGCCCATGGTTTAAATGTTAGACATACTTACAGTAATGTCAAAAAATACAACCCATGAAAACACCTTTTGGTTTCTTGAAAACTCAAAATAAGAACAAAGGACAACTTAAGCACGAATCCCGGGTCTTTCATTCAAGCAGCGTCCCAGGAGGCATATTAAGGCAATGAATGGGAAAAAGCTCTTCAGTTCACCAGCTGAGACTTTAATGAGACAGTTCCCTTTGCCATGGTACAGGTTTGTTCAGGAAAGGAAAGGACTTCTCACAGAAAATTCACTTAATAGGCACTGTTGGCTCTCACTGCCACTTTGGCAATTGCTCACTGCACTGACCTTCTATTTTGGCATATTCTGTGAGTCTAGTGTAATTGATCAAGGCAGCTTTCTCAAGACATTTTCTGACCACTTTTTTCACCTCTTCTGCTGGTATGGGAGTGGCAATATCTTTCATTAAAACCTACAGAGAGAAAGAGAGAGGGGGGGGAGAAAGTGGGGAGAGAGAGAGAAATTTACTGTATAAAATAAATACTAAAGACAAATTACCAAATTCTCCCAGACCTGTGACTGGGAAGGGGTCCTAGGTAACACTGAAGGGAAGTAATGAGTCGGCACTTCACAACTGGGAACGTAATCCTCCAGTCTTGGCTCCTCCTGTCTAAGCCTCATTTATGCACATCAAAACCTCCCATAGGCCAAGCCACCATTCAGTGTGACTGTCACTTTTCCTCCAGGGACCCATGACACTATTAAAGCAGCTGTTTCAGATCAGGATTACAGTCCTTGGGACAAGTCATAAACAAAGTTTGCCTTGCACATCCCTAATTTAAAAGCTTTAACTCTTTTGAGCAATATATATGAAAGCAATAATAAAAATCCCATTAAGAATAAGCTTCATTCTTGAGCTCTATAAAAATCAAGACCTCTAGTCTCATTAATTAAACTTTAATAATTATGATCTGCTGAGGGGGGAGAAAATTTTCTTTGTCTAAGTGAAATGAATAGTGTTATCAAATGTTAAAACACATGGAAACTTTCTGAAACTAAAAAAAAATTAACATTATATTCTGTTGCATTCCTAAAATGTGTTTTTGGATTTTTTCCTTAAAAAATATTACTACTGGCAAGAGGAAAGCACAATTATATTCAAAACTCAAAATATAATGTATTTAAGCACTTTTATAGTGACTCATTGATAATTTTACTTAAAACTTTCTTATTGATAAAAATATTCACCATAAGATTTGATTATGCTATTAGTCAAACTATTTTTCCATATATTTAATGCAGTTTTTCTTGCTTTGCTTACATTCAAATTATAAAACATATGGCAAAATGTTAATATACAGAAGACAATGCTTTTGTAAGTGGTCTTACTTTTCTATTAGTCTTTTATTTTGAAAGAAATATTGAAAGAACATGAAAACATCCATTTCATGCTTTATTATTTCATTCTCTTTCGATCAGCCTTGGCCCTTAGGATTTTATAATCTCAGATTTATTCAATCACTCAAGCATTGGTGATCCTTGACAACATATTTTAATTTTGTTAGGCAAGGTTTCTTTTTGAAAACAGCAAACTTCATCACTTATAAATTTTCTCACCTATCAATTATCCTTCATATTCTCATAGTAAAATCTTTAACACACTGACATATACTTGGCACTTAATTAGAACTGCACGTTAGACTTTTTGTAAGCTAGAAAAATCCTTTTGTTTATAGTAAAAAATACACAAGGGTTAGCATGCACTATTGTTTTTAATGTGATTATTACTAAAACTTAAATTTAAGATTACTTTTGTCCCATATACAGAACCATGAACTTGACTTTCGGCCTTTCCCTCGGTGACAGACTTTTAAATAACAGAAATAGCTGTTAAAATCAGAATGTAAATGTCTGTTACAGAGGTGAGTCTAGGGTTGAAATCAGGCAATATTTCATATTATCTAGGAGCTAGACACTTAATTTAGAGTGGGGGGAATTGAGTCCTCTTTTCTGGCAAAATGCAGAGAAAGGGCTGGCAAGTTCAAAAAGTGAGACACAACCTGTCTCATGTTTCCTCTCCATGTTCTTCCAAGGCATCCTAAGTATCAAAAATTCACATGTAGATTTTATTTTATTTTTCTAAGAAGTCAGTAAGTACAGAGACGTGAAAATGAAAAAATGGCCCTTACCACTTCTCTCTCAGCTCAGCAAGAGACATGATTAGTGACTATAACTGGAATAAGGGTCGCTGTTCATCATGCCACCTGTCAGTGCAGGGCACGAGGGCATCACTGCTATTACTAACTCTTCCCTGCTGGGGATGGGGGGCTCTACCATGGAAACCAGAGCACAGAGAGGCTGCCCTAGGTACCCAGAATGGGATGCCCTTCCAAAAAGTAAAGCGGTCTTTAAGCATTTCATCTTATCCATGGTACCTTAATAAATAGGATGAAATAAATACTTTGAAAAGACTGGGTTACGTGAAGCTTTTAATATTATAAAAATTCTAATAAAACAGATAATTAGTACAATAATATTTCTATCACACAAGGCACAGTAATCAAGGATAAGACAGGGTATATAGATGAAACCAATCTAGAATCCAAGGATCTCATTTTAGTCATCAATTCTAGTCCTCACCTCTCAAGTCCTTAAAGCAAGACTGAGCAACGTCTTCCCTTTTTTGCTTTTAATAAAAGTGCTAACAAACAAGGTAGTATCTGGAATTCATTTGGCAGAAAAATGGACAAGAACAGGTACCTGAAGTCAATGAGTCAGGAACAAAATAATCATGTCATGAGCTAGAAAGGATCCCTAGAAATTCTTTTTAATATTGATAAGGAATAGTCGTTGTTCACATCACTTAACTGTTAGATTCCAACTAGCTTATGAATCGTTTTATAGACATAGATGAAAATGATATTTCCTTTTCAAACCTAATCTACCACAAACACAGGAGTGGAGAATATACTTTCATCAATAAAAGATTTTTAACACGGATATGAAATCTTGTTTGCTGTTTATTTTTGGTGGGAAAATGAATTTCTATAATTCATGAATTCATTGAAAGTAACACAAGTTGAAATAAATTCTAAGATGAATTAAGAATGAAAGGAATGATATGTCTGTGCCTATTAAATGAACAACTCTTAAAGGTATGAGGAATACGACAAGGAGAAGTACAACTAAGTCAGGAGAGATAATAAAGGAGAAACATGAAGTCTGAAAAACAGAGATAATTATACTTAACTCAAAAAAACCTACTTCATGAGGGAAAAAAAGAGGTGGGAAAAATGGATACTACCAAAAAGATGCCATGAGCTCAGCATAGGATGGCAGTGGGAGGCTCCAGAAAGGCTTTGAGGGGGAAGAAGAGGGATATAGGGGGTTTGAATGTAGTAAGAAAAGGTGAGAAATTGCTGAAATGCTGTGGACTCAGAGGACAACACAGGTGTTGTGAGGAATGGGACTGTTTGCCTAGTTCAATAAGTAAAATACATAGCAAGTGAGAATGCAAACAATTTATAAAGTAACGTTCAAACATACCCTTTCAAGCAACGAAAGTGTAGCTTTTAGAGCACCTTCAGGTCGTCCGAAGGGAAAACAGTATCTTTAAAAACAAAAGAAACAAAAAAGTCAAACATTTAATATCCAAGACTGCTAAATAATTCCCTCTTCTATCACTTGGCCTTATTGGAGAACAATGAAAAGTGGTTAAAATAGCATCAAAAATTTTATCTGCAGAAGTTTACCTAGTCCCGTGATTTAAACGTCTTAATCACTAAAGGTGTAAACTGTGATGAAAATGGTTCTCAAGTCTTGATAATATATGGACAGAAAGAACACAGGAAAAGAAAAAGACCCTTTAGGGTCCTATGAGTAGAGATACTTAAACTGCAGTCCCGAATAATTTCTTGTTTGAGGTTTGTTGTTACTCAAGCTCTACAATAAAAGGCAATGATTTCCCCCATTTCGTCCTCCATTTATGTGCGGTTTAAGATATAGGCGTACACCACAGACATAACTTCTAGGACAAACAAGGTTCCAGCTAGACCCCTTTCCAGACATTTGCCTGTCTATGCTGGTGTCTAACCCTTCAACCTGCCCACACAAAACACATAAACCTTCTGCAGCGCTTTTGCCAGCAGTCGTTTATCTGCAGTATTTCTAGTCCCATGTGCTCCTAACACACACCAACTGGATGGCAGGCTACGGATGTTCTGAAGTCAGGGTCAGAGGCCAGGAGACTGAGTGGGCTCCTCCGAAGTTAGTTGCCACATGGTGGTGACAAGCTTATTGCTCTTTACAAGGGGGCCCCTCTTCAGGTCACTTTCCATTTCAAGAGTATGGGACGTCAGGGCCACTTCATCCAGCTGGAGCTCCTCGCTTTGTTGAACCAGATTCAGCAAAGCACCCCCTCCCTGCCCACTGCCTGGCCCCAAGACCCATTGCTGTAAGCAGCTGGCCTGTGCTTAGGCTGCCAGCTTGCCCTGACTTAGAAATCTTCGAACTAATAACATGAAAGGAAGTTTACTTATTTCTATGTCCTTTGCCATTATTCAGGGGCTTAGTAGACATATTTTCCAAGATGTAATTAACAATGAAATAATTTATTTTCACACTGTAATTTGAACAGGTTTCCTTATATTTTAAATTCAATTTGTTTTATAGGACCAAATTTTAAAGAAAAAGGTTTCTCACAAAGCAGTAGTTGAACTTACATTAGGGCTGGGTTTTAGTTTCGTGAAACTTTCATTAGTCTCAGATAAATGCAGGTAGTAAGTGTCATTAATCTAGGCTCTCAAATTTTTCTTCAGAATACCGTGTATCATTCCATTTACTGTTAAAAATTTCTTTCACTTAATCTTGCGTCTATGCACCCTCTCACCCTCCCCACACACACAAAAAAGCCACAACCAATTTATTTTGATAGAGTTTTTCCAGTGCAGTGGTGCTTTTCAGAGCATTAGCAAATTAGCAAAGTAGCTTTAATCATTCTGTATACCATAAAGCTTAATCCACGTTTCAATAAAACACAAATTGGGTTCTTGTAGTCCCCTCCCCCTGCTTAAATCTTTTCAGTGTATTTGCATAATCCACCCATTGTCTTTCCTATTGTTGATTTCCATTAACCTGTGGGTGACACATTTTATGAATGGAACGCTACTGATCCCCAGATTACATTTAGCATTTCAGGGCTCTGAGGTCCCACTGGGTATGTTCTGAATTAGCATTAGCTGCCCATGATGTGTAAATAATTCAACACATTACAGAGTAAAGTAATCCTGAATCAATAAAGTACAGAAAATAATGACACAGAAGCTTAATTAATCTCTACAAAACAAGTTTTAAAAGAAGGGAATCATTTTGTTCTGCCTTTCAGAATAAATATTTTGGGTTTTTACCACTTTGACATCTAATAGCAAAGTGAAGTGGAAAACACTCAATTATCAAATAAAATTCAACCAAGTTTAATAGCTAATCTGAATAAACTGAAATCACCAATTCGCACTTTAATAAATTACAGATAAATGAGCCTGCATAGACCTGTCCTACGATTAAGCCATTTTTTTCCTTAGCCATTTTTAAACACAGTATTTATTTTTATCAAAGTTACATATGCACACAGTCTAAGAGGAAACTTTGTAAAAGGCTTTTAATGAAAAACAGAAGTCCTTTAATGTCAGTTCCACCCCACGCTCCAATTAATTTCTCTAGAAAAATATCTTAACTTTTAGCTGATTCTTTTGGCATTTAAACGACATATCCCTAACCTACGTGCTAATATTCCTAATTCTTGATTTTTCAGTTTTAGATATTATCTGACTAACTTCTCATTATGGAAGTACTTAGATTTTTTTAAAAAATAGCTTTATTTAGAAGTGTGACATAACGAACTGCACCTATTTAAAGTATGCAATTTGATAAGTCTTGACCTATGTGTATACCTGTGAAACCATCACTACAATCTATGTAATACACATATTCATGAACCCCAAATGTTTCCTCTCCACTCCAGGCAATCATTGACTTACTTTCTGTCATTTGGATTAGTTTGTATTTTCTCTAACTTGATGTAAAAGAATTTATACAGTATATACTTCTTTGGGTGTGATTTCTCTCGTTCAACATAGTTATTTTGATATTCATTTAAACTATTGCATGTATCAACAGTTCATTCCTTTTTATCTCTCGGAAGTATTCCAATACATTTTTTATCCATTATTTGTTGATAGTCATCTGGCTTGTTTTCATATTTTGGCTATTATGAGTAATGTTGGCATGAACATTCACGTAAAAGTCTGTGTGTGGACATATGCTTCCATTTCTCCTGGGAAAACACCTAGGAGTGGGATGGCTGGGTCAAATGTTAGATGTCTAAATTTTTAAAAGCCTGCAAACTATTTTACAAAGTGGGTTGTACAATTTTACATTTCTGTAAACAGTGTATGCAGAGTTCCAGTTTCACATTCATGCCAACATTTGCTAGTTCAGTGTTATTTTTTTAAATTTTAGTTATACTAATAGGCATGCAGTAGTACCTCATTGTGGTTTTAGTTTGTATTTCCCTGAAGAGTAACGATTTGAGCATCTTTTCACCATCATATATCTTTGGTGAACTATCTGTCAAAACAATTTTTTTTATTGGGTTGTTTCATTTCTTATAAAGTTTTAAGAGTTATTTATATATTCTGTTTAGAAGCCTCCTGTAGGATATGTATCGTGCAAATATTTTCTTTTATTCTGCGATTTCTCTCTTTATTCCCTTAACGATGTCTTTGGAAGATCAAGTTCTTAATGTTGACAAAGTTCAAGGTAACATTTTTCCATTTATGAATTATGATTTTGGTGTTTTAAGAATCTTCGCTTAGTCCAAAGACACTGAGATTGTTTTCTAGATCCATCCATTTTGAGTTAGCTTTTGAATCAGGTATGAGGTATGGATCCAAGTTAATATTTTGCATTTGGATATCCAATTGTTTCAGCACTATTTGTTGAAAAATTTATGCTTTGCAAACTGTCTTTGTACAATTGTTGAAAATCAACTGACCACATCTGTGTATTTTTGGACTCTCCATACCACGTTACCTTAATTATTGACTTCTGAGCAGAGATCCTTGCCTTGTTTTTGATCTTAGGTAGAAAACAGTCTTTCACTATTAAGTATGATGTTAGTTGTAGGTTTTCCATTGATGCCCTTAACAGGTTGAACATATGACATACAATAATAATTCTTTTAATACTTTTGTTTACTAATTCTATCGTCTGTGTCATTTTCACTTTTGGCTGGTTTTTTATTCTCTTCATTGGTCATATTATACTATTCCCTTGTATGCCTAGAAATTTTTCACTGGATGATAGATATTGTTATTTTACCTTACTGATGGCTGAATACTTTTGTACTCCTTTAACTATTCTTGAACTTTGTTCTGAAATGTCACTTACTTTAAAACAGTTTGATTCATTTTAATCTTGATTTTAATCCTCATTAGGAGAGATCATGACAGTGTCTATTCCAGGAATAATTTTTTTCCACTACTGAGGCAAACGCCTCTGAGTACTATACCTGATGCCCATGAATTAGAAGGTTTCCACTCTGAGTAGTGGAAACTGAAACTACTCCTCACCCTGTGTTAGCTTTGAGAATTTTCCTGTAATCCTTTCATATAGCTCTTTGCCCAACTTTGAATAGTTTCCTCACATACACGCACAGATCAATACTTAGCTGAAGACTCCAGGGGGATCCCCAGCAAATACCTATAGGTCTCTCCTCTCTCTTCTTTGGAACTTTGACCTGAGAACTCTGGCTGCCGTACCTTCCCTGGACCCCCAGTTCTGTCTCCTCAAGTCAGGGTGTCCAGTGGACCCACCCAGGTTCCTCCTTCCTGGGCCACAGCCTGGAAATACTCTCCTGGCAGTAAGCAGGGGCAAAGTGCTTATTCATTTGTTTCCCATCTCTCATGAATCAGTTACTGTCGTATGTTTAACGTCTTAAAAATCATTTTTTCCACATATTTTGTCCTTAAAAAAAAATTGTTTCAGGGGCCGGCCCTGTGGCATAGTGGTTAAGTTCAGCATGTTCCGTTTCAGCGGCCCAGGGTCAGATCCTGGGCACAGACCTACACCACTCATCAGCTGTGGTGTGGTGGCAACCCACGTTTAAAGTAGAGGAAGATTGGCACAGATGTCAGCTTAGGGCTAATCTTCCTCAGCAAAAAAAAAAAAAAAAAAGAAAGAAAAAAATTGTTTTAGGTGGGAGGGTAAATATCATCCCCTGTTACTCCATCTTGGATATGTAGTTTTTTTTTTGTCTTTTGTTTTTTTTTTAAGAACACTTTCTTCCACTCTAAACAATTCTTGTCCTTCCTATCCTTCTAATACAGTTACATCATTTTTGGGGGTTAGGTCTAAATTCAGTACCTACATTATATTAATTATGTAAATGTCCCAGATAACTGAGACAGTATTTACTATGATTACTTTTTATGTGCCACTACTTTGTTTATAATTAATACTTGTCTTTGGTTTTAATTTCTTCTTTTATATAATTAATCTAATACAGCTCTAAACTCTAATATAACTAATACAATCTAAATAATACAACTCCCAACTCAATTCCAGGGGTAAATCTGAACATGTTAAAATATCTCAGTGTTTTGTCAATTTAATCTACTTGAAGAATTTTTTGACCTGCTCTAGTCAGAACTTGTTGCTCCCTAAGCTCCACATCACTTTGGGGTCTCTATGAACCATTACTATGAAGATTCCCTCCTCTCTCATACTGATTTCCTGTTTCAAGGATCTTAACTCTCCCTCTTTGTTTTCGCTTTGTCTTGGTATATTGCATTCCCCAGAAATGGAACATGGGAAGCACATCTTCTGAGGTCCTGCATGTCTGAAAATGTCATTATTCTACCATTGCCCTTAATGAAGACTTTTGCTGATACAGAATTCTAAGTTGGAAATAATCTTTCCTCAGAATTATGAAGGCACTGATAACACTGCTTTCTGGGTATCAGTATTGCTCCTCACACCAAAATGAAAGCTGCAGAAGGATCTTTTTCCATTTTGTTCACTGCCTGACACATAGTAGGCACTCAATAAATATTTGTAGAATAAATCATGTTGAGAAGCCATTCTGATTCTTGATTCTTTGTGTTTCAGGATCTTCTCTTTTATCCCCAAGATTCTACAAATTCGTGAAAATACATCCTGATGGGTTTTTTAATCCTTTGTGCTGGGTACTCAATGGGCTCTTTCAATCTGAACAATTATGTCTTTTAATATTGGATAATTTTTTTGAATAATTTTATTGATACTTTCCTACCTTCAGCCTTAACTCTTTCTGGAATTCTTATTATTTATGAAGAAACTTCTAAGTAGATCCTTAATTTTTCTCATCTTTGTACTCCTATTTTCTAGAAGGTTTCATTAACTTAATCTTTCAATAATGTATATGTATTTGTGTGTCATTTGCATACAATTTCTAAGAGCTCATATTTGTTCCTTGAGGTTTTTTTCGCTTTTTTCTTATAATATCTTCTTTTTCTTTTATAGATGCTTTCTTCTCAAACCTCTCCAAAGATATCAGTAATAAATCCCACAGTCCCCTCCCGCAATTTCTTCTTCCCTCATAATCTTTTTTTCCAAGTTGCTTTTTTTGCATATACTTGTTTTGGGCTCTGTCTTCCATAGTAAAGGCTTTTCTCGAATGTCTGATGGCCTTGGCTATCCGATCATTTTCAAAAGTGCAGTATTAAAAAACTGAATGGAAGCTATGTGCACCTAGGTGGGTACGTGGAGAGCATGGTCGTTGCTGAAGGGGAATCTGGCTGGGCTGTTTCAGTGGGAGTCTTTATTGTCCACAGCTTTAGGACTTTCCTCTTGGGCTACTTAGAGTCCCAGGGGAAGACACTTATAATATGCCTAAAAGGTATAAGCCTGCCAGCCTGCCTGCCTGCCAGCATTTTGGGAGTCAAGTACATGAGCTAGGAGAAGGCTGTGATTCTCAGATTTCAGAAGAAACGTTTAATCTCCATGTTTCCGAATATAATCCCCAACTCCAACTGTGCCTCATGTTTCCTGCCCTCCTCCACCCCTGTCCAGATACCCTCTCATTTTACTCTCTCCAGGGAATAAATCTGCAATCTCTGCCAGGTGAGGGGAGGGGCAGCAGCCTGGCTGCTGAGTTGGAAAAGAGATCTGGGGATCTAAGTGTTTCTTAAGCAGATTTATAACAAATAGTTCTCAACTCTTAATTTCTAGCAGGGCTTGACACTTGAAATTTCTAAATGTTTTGGTGATTGTATAATATCAGATATCTTCTCTGTTTTCCTCTCTGCCAGCTTACGATTCAGTTTTTCCTGGGAGATTAAATTAGATACCATTCATCTATCTGACTTAGAAAATTTTTAACTTTTTTTTCCATCTTTTTCCTCTCTTACTCTTGTTGTCCTTTTGGGTTTCTGTCTTCTGAAAAATATTGTTCTGTTGGTTTTATTAGTTTCTGTGACAAAGCTGAGCCAGACATGCATTCAATCTATCTTTAACCTGAATTTCCTCATTTATGTTTAATTTTGTTTGCCTTATTATTTTATCTATGTCTTTGAAATCCATTTTTGGAATACAGTTGGGCCTAAATAAATTTCTATACACGAGTTATTAACAGTACTGTGGTTACTTCTTTAGTGTGAGTTGATAAGTAATTTACGCTCTTTCTAAATTTTAACACTTCATAAATTTAACATTTAGTAAGCCAACATAAGTGACTAAGGAAGATCATTTGGTAGAATCCTTATGAAAATCCACATGGATAATTTAAAATTTTTGCTAAATTTCCCTATAGGGGCACCTAAAATTTTTCCTGTTTTGTTTTAATCCCATTTCCTCTTATCCAGTCTTCTATGGACTCAGGAAAAAGAAAACTGGTAAAATTTATACAAACTCTACAAACATCAAAAGAGAATATAAAAGTCAGCCCAAAATGTCTAGATCAATTCATTTCAGTTCTTGTCCTCAGTACACCGAAGAAATAAAAACTAAAAAGGACTGTAGAGTAAATCTTCAGAGAAATTATTAAAAGAGGTTTGCATATAAGAGAAATAGAGAAACAAAACTATAACAGAGAGGAAACTAATACAATAAATGATGTGGACAACTGCTGTTCCCTGCCTCCTCCTGGGTAGTTGCGGGGGCAGTGTGGGGGACTCAAACTCCCTTGGTGGGGTGGCTCTGACTAGGCTAACTCAATCACGGTGATCCCAGTGCTCATCAGTGACTGACTGAGGCAACTAGCGCGTGGGCTTTCCCTGGCTACAGTTCAGGACCGGGCCAATGACCTATTTAGGGCAAATGAGATATGAGGGGTAGTTTGCTAGGATCTTCTAAGGAAACTTTTCAATGATCCTAAGAAAGAACCATAGAAAGAGAGGGCCTCTACTACTTCCTTTGAAGACTGGCATGTATAGATGTGAGGCCAAGGAACTCTGTGGTCTTGCTACCAATATGGGGATAAAGCCAGCCCATGAAGGAGGACAGCCACGTGAGAATCAAAGAAATGGAGCTGTGGCTACTGAATTGAAGCCTGTCTTCAAGTTCAACCTACCTGAGACCTGCAGTTAAGGGAGCATATACATGTATTTGTTTAAACCAGTTTGAAGTAGGATTTGTCACTTGCAGAAGAAAGCACTGATGCAAATAACCACGGAGACTTACATAGATATTTAACTGAATGATGAGCTCTGTCTCAATAATGTCAGAAAAGGGAAAACTATATTGATTTTCACTGAAAGACATACGATGATTTTAAGGGTCTCTACACAACCTAAGAGACAACACTCATAACAACAGCAAATGCACAAACGTTCTTTGCAAATGCGAAAGCCGCCTTCGTGTCTCCATTTTGTTAACACGCCAATAAAAACGCAGTAGAGAATTCAATCTTAACTCCGTAAAAGTTGAATGCGTCTATGCTATCTAGAACAATGTCTCCTAATGCGAGTCTACAGGCCTTTTGGGCAGAACAATTCTCCAGTGTGAGACCCTCCCATGCACTGCATGTTTAAACCCAGCACTAAATGACTGCCCCCACGCCTGGTTATTAGGACAATGAAAATCTTCCCTCTTTCACTTCCCCTAAGGTGGTGGTACCAGCCTCAGTTGAAAGCACTAGTGTAGGGGAACAGATGCATAGCATATCCTCTGAGAATTTCTCCCTTCAATATCATTTTAAAATCACAGAATCTAAGCTTTTCATATTACAGATAAGGAAATTGTGGCCCAGAGCAACCATACACTGTTCAAATGGTTAAATAAGTATTTTTAAACTGTTAAAGGGGAATATTAACTGAGTATATTTTTTCAGTAAGTTCACATGAAATGATTCCACATCACATACCTGCAACGTGACAGACATGCTATAAGACACAATACACTCACGTGGCAACACTTTATAGGATCTAGTGATAAGAGTGACAGAAAAAGGAAATGTGTTGGCATATTTCTGTTTTTAACCATTAGATTCTGTTGAGCTAATGATAATCAAGGAAAAAGAACTGTTATCAAGATATTTATCTTTCACTATGCAAATGTTTCTTAGTATCAATAGTTAATTTTTTTGAGCAAGGAACCGTGCCAGGCACTGTGACCCTTGTTCTCACAGAATGTAAATAAAATGATAACTAATTACTTAAGAATTGTATGTCATAACTATGTGATAAATGACTGGAGACGAGTACAGGCGACAAATGCTAAAGGACTTCAGCTTTTCCATTCTTTGCCAGAATAACTGAGAAAGGCTCCACTGTGAAGGTGGGACTTGACAGTCTCCTGGTCTGGTGATACAGAGAGAGGGAAGAATAGTCACCAGAGCTAATGGGAAGAGGCTATGCAAGGATGAGCAATGCACAAGGCAAGTGAGAGGTACAGTGGAATAATGCATACTGTATGGGGAAGGGACCTACCTAAATGAGTGGTGGAAAGTGAACGGCAGGCTGAGAAGCAGACCACAGATTGAGAACTGGGTATCATACCTGGCAGGCAATGGAGGAGAAGCTACTGATAGTTCTTGAATAGTAGCAGAAAGATAAAATAAACATTTATAGGGGACTGGAAGGTTGAGTGAAGTAAGAAAGCAAATACTTGTATTAGTGAATAGAGTACATACCTGAAATGGCTTATCTGATTTTCTAAAAGGGAAGAGAGTCTTTCTTTTATCTCTTCAAATCTCTCTTTTTCTTCCACTGAAACAGTTCCAATTCCATCAGGCCTGAAAAAAAAATCAGAATCAGTAATTTTTACTCATTGAATGTTTACTTTTATATATTTTATATCTTCATATATACATATTTCCTTCAAAAATCTAAATAATTAAGGAAAAGGCATATTGGTCCATAGTATACATATTGCTTTACATACAGTAGAAATTTATTGGAGATATTTGCAGGCATTTCCTTCATATTTTGACCTGGAATGAATGGAACAAAATTATTCTCTTTTAGACAGCCTTCAAGGTAAAAGATCACAATAAATATTTTCCAGATCTACAGAAAACAATGACTAGTTCTTGAGAATGGCAGTGAAAAGTGTTTTATTGTGGTACCAAACATTTACCCATTAAATGAATATCCCCTGAATGGAAATATTATAAAAAATATACTGAATCAAGCTAAAATGTCTTAACTGCTTCTCTTCCAAATAAAAATTAAGCTAAGTGAAACTGGAGATTTAATTTTAATTGCTATAAGAATCATAGAAATTTTGGATACATGAAGTGGTTTACTCTCTACTTTTTTTTTGGTTAAATATGTAAGCATATAAAGCAAAATAAATATTTGAATAAAAACATATGCAGAGAAGACGGACCAGCTAAGTTTCTTTTCAAGATTTTTGTGTTTAACCAAATATACCTATGGAACAAAGCTAAGTTTTCATTAGGATTTTTAAAAGTAACTATGAAGACTGAACAGAAATCTTCTTTTACTAAGATTAGGATTGAAAATATAAAATATATCTAATGGCAGGGATTTAGAATTTATTCTGTATCAATTTAAGTATCTGGTTGTATAGCAATCATCTAAAATTTTGAAGATATAAATTTTAACTGTCTTTGTTAATACAGAGAAAAAGCTATATTAATCTCATATTCATTTCAAAATCTGTTTATGTTTCAACAACAAAATGAATCTTTCGCATTTGATAATCAACACTAATAATCTCCTCCCATATTAGCTAATTTTTCTAAAGATTATATTTTAATTCTCAAAGACTTATGTATTTATCATTCCAAATTACTAATTTTTAGTGTTGATGTATAAAATAGGTAAAAATGAGGATTATGAATACAAAGAAAAATGAATGCTTAAAATAACTTTCCCAACAAGACTTTTATTGATGCTGTTTTTTCATATATACATATGTGTGTGTGTATATTTGATACTTGTAAACTAGTCAATTAGGATAAAAGCAATTAATTAAAGTTATATCTGAATCATACTGACACAAAGACCTTTTATTCATATCAAAGCATCACTTAAGTCTGAGAATTTTCTTTCAGTATACAGTAAATAATTTGTTATTTCAGAAACTCACATGCTGCTAGAATTTATGCTTTATTACTTATAATTATATTTCATTCCTAAATAGGGAAACATCAATTATTTACCTTCTGGCAGAATAATACGTCAATCACATTTATTCCATCAGAATGCATTCTGAATGTTTACTGCAGAAAAACTAATAGCAAAATATTGGTCTTTCAAAATTTTTAGGAAGGAGAAGGGAAAGTCCGATCTACGAATTACAAAGCAATGAACTGCGAGCTAACCTCAACGTTTTATAATAGTTTAATAACGGATTTTTTCACATATTACTTCAGAGTCAATTCCCGTTAAGCAAATGATGTCACAAAAATCATAATGTAACCTAAGAATAAGCATTGACAACAATCACAAAAGTTCAACTGGAGAGTTCTTTATAAATTATTAATTTGGGAATTTGGGCATCCAGAGAAGCATTATAACTACATTGTATTATTACACAGAGAGCATAAAAACTCATACCACAAAGTTGCAGACAGTTATTTCACTAAATAAACCCGTGCAAACTTGATGAAAAAGAGCAAAGAACTTATCTTTATTGTTCTGATGACTGACATGGCCCCTTGGCTTTGCTCTTTGACAGATACCAACCACAAGGTTATATTGGAGTGAATTCTACCATTTGCTTCAACTATGAAAGGAGATTGTGATCCACAGTGATGAGCAAGTCATCCTGTTATATAAACTTCATGGGGGCACATCGTCTACCTGACAGGATGGAGCCAGGGGCTCAGGTGATGAAAAGTGAGACAGGAAGTCAGGGGAACGTCACTTAGTCACCCTTTACTAAGATCAAGACTGTTATACACAGCACAGGGCCGTCATTTTACTGAGTTCTAAATTAGGTACACGACTGACAGCTTAAATACAACATTTAATATTTTGGACTTGCCCTGATTCACGTCTTTATTTTAGCGTATAGACCAGACTATGTGTTAATCTGAGTTATGTGACGTGGCCTTCTATATCTAAATTATTGGGAGTAAATGGCAACTTTGCTGCAGTCAAGCCTAAAGGTAATAGCTCTTTCTAAAATTATTCTTTCCAATAAATGCAAAAACTTCCTGTGTCATTAATATCTTCCTTGTCATAGTCGTTATTAAAACAAACATAATTCTGAATATGCACCTGATACTGTGCTGTTTCATATGCATAACAACAGAGGGTGCTCACAGAAATCCTTTCTCCAATCTCCAAGAGAGGAGTCTGCTGGAGCTCAAGGAAGTTAAGTTACTTTCCCAAGGTCACACAGCAGGTAACTGCAGGAGCCTGAACTTGAACCTAGGTCTTTTGCATTCCAAAGCCAGGCCTCAAAGCCCATGCCTTATTCTCTTTCCCCTATGTTTTCACAGAAAATAATAAAGAACAATAAAAAAAAATCAATAATAAAAATGAAAACTATGTCTGAGAAGCAATAATGGTGGAATTATTTTAAATATCCTTACTTGCATCAAACATTTTCTATATTACTTGTATAAGGCAGAGAGCTTAAATATCAATAAAATTTAAAATACCACTGAACCAGTGATTCAATTAAAAAAGACCCTGGGCCAGCCCCAGTGGCCTAGGGGCTAAGTTCAGTGCATTCTGCTTTGGTGGCCCGGGTTCGGTTCCTGGCCGCGGACCTAGACCACTCGTCTGTCAGTGGCCATGCCGTGGTGGTGGCTCACATACAAAAAAAAACTGGCAGCAGGTATTAGCTCAGGGCGAATCTTCCTCAGCAATCACTCACTCACTCACTCAATCAGACTTTGACAAAGGAAGTCCTAAAATTTGCTCTTTCATACATTGCAAAATATGTACTTGAAGAAGCCTTGAGAGAGACTTAAACCAGTTATATTTTTTGAATGTTTATCTAGCAGACTCAGGGTAACAGAGATTTAAAACAGCTTCCTAAGCTCAGTTTATAACTAATTTCTGTCAGCTCTACGATCACAACATACCCAGAACTTGACCACCCCGCACTTCTGCTGCTATTCCTCTGGTTCCAGCCACCCTCAGGTCTCCCCTGAGCATGGCTGCAGCCTCCATGGTCTCTCTCCTCCAGTCTTTTCTTTGTCAGAGTATTGGCAACACACTATTGGGAGCCTTTTTCAAGCATGAGTCATATCCCTTGTAACTCATTGTAAAAGGCAAAGCCCTTAAAATGGTCAACAAGATCTTATACGATCCCTCTTCCCCACACTCACACTCTGATCTCCTCTACTCCTCATGGCAAGTTCCTCCATTCCACCCATGCTGGCCTCCTAGCTCGTCCTCAAACATAGGAAGCATGCTCTGCCTCAGGGCCTTTGCATGTGCTGCTTCCACTGCTGGGGAGCTCTTTCCCTAGGCACACACACAGCTTGCTCACTTCTTTCTTATCTCTACTGACGTGACTCAGGATTAGTGAGGTTATCTCTAACCACCTGATGTAAAGGTGTAACCTTCCATTCCCACAGACTTCCTCTCCTTTTAACACGCTTTATTGCTTGCCATTGTACATAATGCCGTCATCCAACAGGGATATATTTATTTGTTTACTGTCTGCCTCCTTCAGGCTTACCCCTAGTGCCCGGAACAGTGGTTGGCCTATTGCTGATGTTCAATACACAAATGCTAAAGAAATGAATGAATGATATATAGAATATAGAAATATCAGCTATATAAGATTATAAGAATTCATGAATTAGTAATATCACAAAAATTAGTATAATTGCTTATTAGTATTAATATTGCATAAATTATTTGGAATGTATGTTTTTATCATACAACAGTAGGTAAAATAAGAATTTTTTTGAAAAGCAAACAGAAGCAGGAATTATAGTTAAGTATTCAGGGTAAAAAGATCTCTAACAAAAGTGAGCATGTATTTACAATTAGCAGAAAATTTTTATTGTTTACTTGCCATTTCACTTATTAATGAAATTATTTGCTTTAAATCTTAAACATAAAATTTCTTTTCCTGAGATAATGAAAGTAAAAAGAATAATGTCTCTTTGACACTGACAAAAAGATGATGTTAAAATGTGGTTATTTAAAATTCTAACATAAAAGACCAATTTTCTTATTCAAATGTTAATTGGGGTTTAACTCTATGACTGATAATTAAATATTAAAGTGGTTCCAATGAGAAGGAAGGGTATTCTCACGTACCAAGACTTAATATTTTCCTTTTTCCTGGGGCCTGTAGTTACCGAAGTTACATAATTTTAATAAAAATACAGTATTCTGTGAAAGAAGTTTAAGATATGAACAAATTATAAAACACAATTTAATAAAAGATACACATCTTTTAATTATAGATACAGTCAAATAAGTTATGACATGGAACTTCCTTCTGGTACCACATAATAAGCAATTGAACACCAAATACAGCTGTGTCTATGTTAATTATACTTGAAAGGTTCTTAAAAAACAGAATTTATACAATAGAACCTTCTGCCACTGACGCTTAATAGCCTGATCTTACATCTGTCTACGGGTCACATTCTTTTTTCACAGAAACCATCACATGCACGTGCGCTCACACGCTCACACAGACACACAGACCGACCTTTTTTGAAAGGCAGATTCATCCAAAAAATAGTTCCTATACATATTAAGGCCAATCGAAATTAATTTCATTAAATTCTTCTAAGGGATGTTATAGTTTGTGCTATTCAACATTTTGGCAGATTAGGGATTTTAA